ACCCTAACCCTAACCCTAACCCTAACCCTAACCCTAACCCTAACCCTAACCCTAACCCTAACCCTAACCCTAACCCTAACCCTAACCCTAACCCTTGAGAAAGTCATAAACAAGGCACTCTCTCTGTGCCAGTGCCATGCGCACGGTATTGTCTCTGACCATCCCCTGGGCTTCTCAACATGCAAGCAAAAATTCGAGAAACAACGATGACGACAATGCTTGATCCAATTGAAAATTCCAAACATACCGAAGAGGAGCAGGGAGAACACTTGACCGCGTGGTAACGGGAGCATACGTGAGTAGCTTCGTAAAGATTGATAAGGATGACCTTGCGGCTTCGCATTCTGAAGCAAAAGAGGCCGTGCGTTCAGCGAGAGCGACAAGCTCCGGTAGAAGCGTAGCTGGACCTAAAGAAATACTTCATTGTACCTTCTTGTAGAATCACAACTATCAATGCAGGTCTCTCTTTCCCTCACACGCATACATGTCTCCTCATTGGTCCATACCGCAGGAAAACGGCAGAGTTAAGAGTTGCACGCAAGACCTTTTTTTCTTTCCACGTGCGAACACGAAATAGCAGCATTCCCTTAATCGCACATTATGAAATTTGGAAAGAGTTGTCTTCCGCGCTTCGCGGCAAATCTGTCAGCCGATCCTCATGGTCGCCTTGCATCTCTCTTCTACCGTCTTCGTGCCTTTTCGAATCGTGCCTTTTCGAATCGAATTGAACGGAAGAACGTTAAAAGGAGGAACATTGCTATCGAGGACGTGCAGCTGAGGCCTCTGCTGCTCGCTGATGCTGGCACCCATTTTCTCGCTTCAATTCTCACGCCAGTGCTAGACATGCAGCGCTCTTCCTTGCTCGTGTTTATCATCTCCTTCTCGACGTGCATGATTCAGCCGACTTTTAGGAAATTCCCCTGTGACTTTGTGCTTAAGATTCGAATCAGTATGTATACCTTTCAAGACAAGATAGCAGGCCCTGCACCGACCCTCAGTCAACACGGGTCGCTTCGCCACCCCATGTAGAGGAGAGCGCGACAAAGATCAGGGTTGGGTTGTGGAATGACGTAATGGAAGCAAAAGCCCGTGTGTGTGACGCGACGTGTCAAGCCATCGGAATCTGTCTCACTACATACGTCAAGCACATGAGTGGAGAGATTAGTGATTGTTGATGCCGAAGTCTTTGCTGACGTCAGGCCCGCTCCTTCTCTAACTTCATTTCTGGTTGGAAGAGAGCGGTGTCGGATCGGCAGAAGATAAGCACGGGCGTGGCTGCTTTCAACATTTCTTTGCATGTTTGTTGTATGCTTTGCATGTTTGTTGTATGAAGCGCGTGGCTAGCAAGTAAGAAGATTGCGTTTGTGAGAGACAGTCTATCATTGAGAAAACATTTAATGGACGCGTGTGCATGCGTTTGTCTTGGGCTGTCCTGACCTACAACACGCTGTTGATGACGCTCCATATCTTGCGATATAGATATTTGCAAAGGTGCTTTAAGCGCAGGGTTCCCAAACAGCGAAGTTCGTCCCTTTCTTATTCAAGGAAGCGCGAACGGAGACCATTGCGGCTTATCACAGGTTTGCGCGGTCAAAAAGAATTTCTTCACCGTCAGATTTTAGTAAGAGCGCCACAGAGCAAAGGATTCGCTGGAAATGAAGAGGCACAATGTGAGCGACACACTGACCGAGAAGCCAACAGCAGCTGCTCGTGATTCCAGTTTGATTCATGATTGAAGGTCACCTTTGAACATGCGCCTACGTATGAGAAGCTAGCTTACTCCTTCGAGGGGAGCGGTCACCTCACCCCCTCTTTGGCAAACGCAGAGCTCATTTCCACAATGACGAAGTTCGGGTCTTGTTACTTTTTCATCCGGTCAGGTGAGCAGCTTGAGTTTTTCGTCCGAGGTCCTTCGTTCAGCGCTTGTAGCAAAGTCAGATAGAAGTGCTGCTCTGTGCATCCCAGAGCCGGGATTCGCTTCAAACACAAGCATCGGACCCTATCCAAGAGCACAGATACCAGCGCAATGAGCGACTCGAAGCGATCGACAGTCGATCGGGTGAGTCTACCTGTTGCATAAAGATCTAGACTGATGAAAGCTCAATGAACAGAGTTCGCTACGGACAGCTTTAGTGACTCGTGACTACTGCTGTCTGCTCACAGATAAAAGCTATGAAAATAGTATAGCAAGCCACAAACTACCTCAGGGTCGACCGGAAGTGAGTGCAAGTACGTCATGTACGAATGAAGTGGATTGCGAAGCTCAAAGATATGATCAGTGCTGTAAAGAATCGTTTGGGTATGACGCCAGATACCTCTTCACGTCTCGTACGGCATTCTTCGAGATGAAGTCCTTCATTTCTGCAATTGAGGCAAATGGGCTCTTTAGCCTGTGGTATGTGCTACGTGCCATTACGGTCCCGGAAAGTGCGTTCGCTCTGCTCAACATATCTATGGGGAGATGCTTTCGTCGTACATTTATATTCGCTCAAAGATACCACGGTCAGGTTGTTTCACGGCAAAATGTTCAGTCCAGATAGATTTCGAGGGGCCACTTGAGCGTCGACCTGACAAGTATTGTGCAATACCAACAATGCTCTGTGATGCGATTTCGGGGACATGCTGTCATGTGAACATCACTCGTGGCGCCCTGAGATTGCTACGCCAGTAGACAATATGATACTTTTCACGATGGCCATGATCTGGGCTCGTCTAATGATGAGACTTCTACACGACAGAAAAGTCTAGCAAACCCTACACCCCTCAACGCTCCGGTCCTTCTTTGGCCCGATCAAAACTACAACCAAAACAACCACATCTAAGGTGATCTGACTGCTGGGGCGAGAGAAGCTCATCACGAGCCCGTGCAGAAGGATAATCCGTCAGCCTTCGTTTCGTTTCGTATCGGCAGCAGTGTGGACAAGTCAAGATGAACGACCTGCAGTGAAGACTTCTAGACATGACAAGAAAATAAATTTAGCCTCAGATCAGCTTTTACTGCTTTGGCTCGGCTGTAGTATTCACAAGAATGCATGACTCGGCAAAAAAAAATTCTAGAGGCAACAAATCAAACACCTAGAGGCACCATACCTGCCGCCAGATGCACCTCACTCGATTTTTTTCTCCTGGGACAGCTCCTACAACGCTTCAGATCCTGGATTTTCGCTCTAATCAGCCCGGCAGCCGGAAGATCGCTCGCCCCCTTTATTTGCTCAAGCTTGGCACCTTGCTCGGTGATGTGTGCAGTCCAAATAATATTGACTAGGTCTACTGCCGGAATGGCACCTGCCACGACGACAGAGAGGAGCAGCGCAGCTGCAAATCGAACAATATGATGCTTTACCACAATTTGCCCCTGACCAATGGATGTTGGCGCAAAAGAAAAAGAGATAGAGCGGCAGCGGCAGCCGGGACTTGTGTCTGACGAAAAACACCTTTGTGCTGCTTTTCCTCTTTGACGACTCGGACGACTGAGCGGAAGTTTGAAAGTACGTTGTATAAAGATTTGAAGACGGTGCAGTTGTCGCCGACAAGCAAGCATCATTTGAGATCGTTTGCGTTTTTGCTACGCACTTGAAGTGATTTGGCAGTCCGGAAGCCAAACAGGTCTTCATGGGCACCCAGTTCAAAACTGAGGCAGCCGGCCTTGATCTCTGATTCGTTGACCTGTCACGTACGTCACTAGCCAGTCAGCAGAACTAGCCAGAACCACGGCCGGTACTTATCGGATTGGAGTAGAATGCACATGTGTGTCAGAAGCTACAATGTCCAAGTGGCAAAGTCCTCACTCCTGGCGACAGACTTTTGCGACATCGATTCTACTGTTGTCATTTCACCCAAATGTTTCATTCTCTATTGTTATCACTATTCCCATTGTTCCCATTGTTATCACTGTTCCCATTGTTCCCATTGTTCCCATTGTTCCCATTGTTCCCATTGTTCCCATTGTTCCCATTGTTCCCATTGTTCCCATTGTTCCCATTGATCCCATTGTTCCCATTGATCCCATTGTTCCCATTGGCTGTATGTTCCTGTCGTTCTGGTCATTCCTGTTGTTCCCTTCACTTCTTTCGGATCCTGATGATTGTTCTTTCCAATTGTTTCCATTGTGTTGACACAACTTGCAACGGACACGAACGTAGGTACTTCCTGCGGCACCATGACAGCAGCACGACTTATTTTTCGTGGGCTTCTGAAGTGGTTCTGGGCGAAGCCAAAAAAAGTTTGGTGAGGCCGATACTCAATGATCAATGCATTAGTGGTGCTGTTGGCTTCAGCGTACCTTATTACTCTGAACGAGGTGGGATTGATACAGGAGCGCGAGAATGTAAGTGACGAAATGATGCAGAACTGGGTACGGCGCAAGTCTCTGCTCAATTTTAGGACGTTGTTAGATCAGCGTCACCAGACAGCTGGAGCATCTTTTTGAAGTCCTGACAAGCGAGAACAAGCGATTAAGCTTCTTCATGACTTTGCAGAGATCCAATTCAGAAGCCATTTGTCATGTGTTGCGGGAAATAGCTTTACTCGTGTCCGTTGCAATTTACGTCAACACAGTGAGAATGATGGAAACGACAATACAAAGATTAATACGAGAGCAGCGGTAGCAGAGGGTATAAGAAGCAGTGGGTATAATGGGAACAATGCGACCAATGCGAACAATGGGGACAAAGCGAATAACGGGAACAATGGGAACAAGAATTGCGCAAGGCGGATTTGGTGAAATTCAGGCCAAAATAAAGTCTGGCTCCTTCGAAAATCTCTAGACATTTGAAAATTTCTTGGCTGCCAAAAGTAAGTAACATCTTTCGAGTGATTCAGAGCTCTCGATTTATATTCTAGCCCACGACCTTATTATTAAATACTAGTAGCAGACAGTCTAATGACTGTGAACTATTAATATCACAGCTTCTTCCTACACAAAACTGATATCCGGTAGCGTATCCGATCGAACACACTCTCGAGGTAGACGAAATGCAGCTTCGAGCAACCACAGAGATCAAGTGAGACACTTGTCGAAAATCCTGTGTATCTGGCAAAAGTGCTAGATATCCTTTCGAACCCCCGGAGACGACCTGTCTTTGAGTATTGTTTGGTGTTGATGTTTATTTTTTAAGACTCTCTTCGTTTACTTGATTGACAGTCATCAAAACTTAGTCGATAGCTTGAAGGCAGGAGCGTTTGAACGTGACTACAAATTCTCTCGAGCTCATCAAAATAAGTCATTCTTTGTCATTGGATCCTTTCTCGACCTTACTGGTGCATTTCCTTGCCGATTTGCCATTACTCGCTGGCTGCAATCTCCATCCGTAGCAAGCTTGCAGCCCCTTCGAACCTCTCAAGGGACATTATACATGCAGAATTAAAACGAAGCCGTTCCTTTCCTTGAAAGACATCTGTACACGATCCCTGAAATATCATGAATAGTGAGACTATGCCACCAACTCAGGGCACATGCATTTTGACATTACTTGCTTGTTCTGGTCTTGAGACAAGGTTGCAGTAGCAGGATTGCCGGACACAGCGTCTGCCAGAGTAAGAGCCAGCTCTTCAGAGGTTGGGTTGAGCTATTCTCACATGTTCTTCAGACAAACTTTTGTGTATTGAGGTCTGCATATGTCTCAGCTCAAGAAACGCTCGGGTGACGCTACACCTTCCCCATAGCAGCAACAGCAAGCGTTCAAGCCCCGTCGATAAGAATGATGAAGGGAATACTTGATGTTGATGTTGTTGCTCTTATCGCGCTTGCCGGTTGGCTCTGGACATGTCATTGGTGCTGCTCGAAAGTAGCTTTTACTGTCAGTCCTACACCTAAAACTAAACCCAAATTCTGCCTTGCTCTAATCTAAACTTGACCAATCCCGCCACGGGTCGCCAAACACATGGCACTCGACTGATCGAGTGACACATACCTTGAAACTTAGTGCCACGTTGTCTCGAGCTCGACTTCGTTCCTTTTTTAAGAACGAACCCGGATTTTGTGCCCGGAACATCTCAAGACACTTCCATGCTGGGAAGACTGCGCAGTTTCAAATTATACAGCAATATCTGGGTTGCGCAAGCAAAACATCGCTGAATATTTCTTTTCTAGAAATCAAAGTACATCTAGACAACCAATCTGAAAGATTTCCAGCGTGATATTTTGCCTATGGCTATAGACGAGGGAATGGGCCCTTCTTCAATAGAGATTGAGGAAGCAGCAGCGACCTCTCCAAGGTCTGCTTCGCGAGAGGCAATTATCAGTACTGCTACGACGAACATGCACTCTCGAGCATCGCCGCCGCCGCTGCTCTGCCGCGAGACAGATGGTGAAAGTTCTCAAGATCAGACACCCCCGTCTCATGTCATTGATACGATAAGCGAGACTCTTTCCGGGTGCGTCAACGAAGGGTTCCATGAGATAGCGAAGAGGCCCGCTGCGACAATACCATTGACAAGCATCGACGGCAACATCACGAGAACGACCGCGGTAAAAAAGTATACTCGAGAGGCCAACATCCTTCATCCGCCTCGCTTCGATGCGAAATTGAGTTCTGCACCAACAAATTTGGATCAAAGAGCGGTGTCGGCCGGCATAGAGCGCAAAAGCCAGTCCTGGTCGCCCAGCAACATCATGTTATCATCAACAAAAGGAACGGCTCCAATCTTGCAATTACCTGTCGAATCAAGGGCTGTCGAACCAAGGCCTGTCGACCCATGGGCAAAGCAAAACACAAGGAGCGAAAGGATGCCGTCTGACATTAGCACCGCGAAGCTGTCATCCTCATATGATGACGTTTCGATTGAGCCGAGGACTATTCAGAAACCTAGCCAAAATATGATGACGACAACAATCGATGCGCCATCTGTCGGTCGCTCAGGTGGCCGCTCTTTTACCCGCATACTGAAGAGTTTACGAAGAGTTCGAGCAAAGGGCTGTAGCCAGATTCCAAAGGCATCAGCGCATTCCACAATCCGGAACAGCGCACAGAAAGGGCTCGCTCGACAATCAATGCCGAAAGATGTTGTCGCGAGATTGTCTTTTTGCGTCGAGCAAAGACGAAGCCGAATAGAGGATGACACATCGGCACTTACTCTGCTCGATCGCGGTAGTCAGCTGCGAGTGCGTCGCGCATCCTCGTTTGCAGGACTTAAGCAAGAATCTCCATCCTCTCGGCCGCATCAGGACGTCGGCAAATCGTCAAGCGTCACAGGTTGCGCTATTACTTCCCAAAGCTTGAAACTCGAAAGTCGAAAAATCCAGAACATCACAACATTCGCTTCCGAACACGACGATTCTAATTCTGCCGGCAACATCTGCACTATCAAGCCACATATACCAGTAAGACCAGAGAGTAGCAGTTCGGTGACTTGCAAAAGGGCTTGGATTGATCTTATTCTTCGACGAGGGCGAGGGCGACCTGTGCAGACAACTTTTGCTCTGGACTGTGATCGCTCGCCGATTATCTCACCCAATCATGCGAAGTCCTCGCTCTCTTCGGCATCTACTAAGCCCTGGAAATGGTGCACAAGTCGTTACGGGACGAAGCTGGCCAGGCAACAAAGGCGCTCGGTGCCATCGTCGTCGCCGTATCCTCAGCATGTCTCTCAGTATCCATTCAACTTACCGACAGATCTACGCCGGGATGACGAAGATGTGAAGACGATCACATTCCACTCACCAGCTAATGAATTGCCTCGAATGATGCTGAAAGCGAACTCCAAGCTACTTACTCAGGCGCACACTTTGAATCCTATTACGACAAATGGGGCCTCTGCTCCCAACAACTTTGCAACACCATGTTCCCTCCTATCATCGAGCCGTCAAACGGCATACGATATTCGAAACGACTGTGACGCAAGCAGGTCGAACCTCGGTATGCAAAGAAAAGGCAGGTATATCAGCAACTGTACAAATTCAGGAACGAGCGACCTGATATCTCACCCCACGTGTGCTGCGCCCCCAGTGGAGGAAGATCGATCCAGCAGTATGACAGCGGACTTTTCGAGGCTTTCACAACTCGATCCGAAATCGAACGTGGTTGTGAGCGAACCGACCAGCGGTCATCCACAAATGAGTCCAGCTTCGGCAGAGCTGAAAGCTTTCGCAAAGATGCTTGACGCAGCGGCAAAGGCTGACGCAGCTCGGATCGAAAACATTGTCCGAAGAATTCGCCTACATACGCCACCTTCAGAAATAAGAAGTTAACGTGTGAGACCCTAGTAAGTCTGGATTCCCCTTCACCTGACATGCGTCTGACCCACAAGGGATTTCTTTTAAAAATTCAACCGTATATTCAGCCTTTGCCCAATACGAGACTGTGGCCGAAAGTTTATTCAGCGATCGGCCCTGACAGTACACACGCGCGTTCACACTGGCGAGAGGCCTTACGTATGCGATACATGCTTCAAGGCCTTGTGAGTACACAAGCACCCATTGTCCTGCCGTGAGCCCCGAAGCTGATCAACTCCGGGGAAAATTTACAGCTCCGACTCAAGCTCGTCGGCTCGCCACCGACGTATCCACTTGGGACGTCGACCTTACCGCTGTGATGTTGAAGTAGGCACAAGTGAGGGTGGACTACCTCGCTGCCGCTGACCAGAGGTGCTTTTGCAGGGCTGTGGAAAGAGCTACTGTCGTAAGGCAACATTAAGAAAACACATTCGCCGCGACCATGCAAGCCTGGAGCAGAGCAGCCAGGGCCAAGAAAAAAAAGGCACAGTGGGTCCCGGTATCGTGGCAGTCGGCAGCAGCCTTGACAAGTCCCCGTTTTCATGTGCATCTCAATTGGGCACGCCAAAGAGCCACTTGAGTGCGCCATTATCTATAAGCAACAGCTTCAGAGGTTTCGGCCCCGGCGCTGGCGCCTCACACGATCCTCGCGCAGGGTCGCTTCATTATCAAGGCCGCGCCGAGACCAAGGACAATGTGATCGAGGGTCCTCGGGAAAGCACAGCCATATCGACGCGCACCAGCACCGGCGATTGCATCTCGTCGGACACGATGACGCATCCTCAGACCTGGCCGGAGAAGCCGCCGCTGACACCAGTGTACCTACACCAAAGCTTCGCGCAGCTCGACTGTTACCATCCTAGCTGTTTCGATGATTCGCCGCCGCCTCTGTCTGCTTCTTCCGGCGAGCGCTGTAGTCCGAAGAGGACGCCTCGAACTGGAGCTTCAGATCGCTCTTGTCGGCAACCAGACCAGCGCTATTATCATGCGCACATGCAGCGCTATACCTATGAGCAAGGATACCAGAGTCTGCCCTTCGTTGACGGGCAGAACCCCGTTGTGTCGAACGAAGTGGTCTCGATTGACACTCCGGCGATAGCTCTTCGTGAGCTTCAAACATCCTTCCCAGGAAGCTACTCTCCATCTTGGACCACGACAGCCTCTGCTTCTTCCTACTCAATCTACAAGCCAGCCACAACGACGTCTTTCTCACGGCACTCTCCGTTCGATCCGACTCACCAGCACCACGCCTCTTTCAGTGCTCCAATCGATCTTCACGAGCAGCA